TTTTCTTTTACAAACAGGAACATATTGTTTTTCACATCATCGACCGTTGTATTCGCTGGGCAGCTGGCACAGAGATTCCTGATAAGACTATGCATACTGTTCTCGATGCCTATCACACAACTTGGATGCAACATGGCCCTGCTAAAATCTTATACTCCGATGGGGAAGGAGCACTGAATAACGATACAGCAAAGGCCATCCTTAAAGCTAAGGGAACAGAGCTTCGTATCCGAGCGCGTGGCCAACACGCCACGACTATCGAAGCTAGGAACGGCATCCTGCGACACCTCATACACGTGATGGGAGAAGAATTGAATAGATTAAATATTCCTCTGAATTTCATTCGTCTTTTACATGAAGCCTTGTTTGCCAGCAACGCATTTACCTTCTACAATGAAGTTTCTCCGTATAATGCGCTGTATGGCAGACAACCAGCTATGCTTCCCGATTTCCCTGTCTTGGATCATGATCAGTCCGCTGAATCATCAGATCACTCAAGGGAGGAGACAATCAGGAGGGTTAGTCTGGAGGCAATCACGCAGGCCACTGCGGTTGCCAAGACGAACAGGGCTCTCCGTACGAAGACTACTGCTACGGGTGAATTTCACTACAAAGAGGGAGATCTCGTGGACTATCATCGCCCGACCACCACGAAAGACGACTGGGGTGGATGGAGTGGTCCATACCCGGTCATCCGCAACGAACCTGACCGAGGCCAGGTCATCGTGAAGGTCGGTAGTCGCGAAGTGCGAGTACAGTATCCTGACACACGACATACGCTGTACATCGAAGCACTGATGGTCCGCGAGATAGGATCGGACAATACGGCCCTTCGGACAGTATTGGCCTTTATTGCCGGTCTGCCAGCGGGGAAACCCGCCATGACTTTCGGATATCTACCAGCGAAACAGGGCCGGCTGCAGATGACTGCTGCGAGCCGACTTTCGCCTAAGGTGCACTTGGCTCTTCAGTACCTCATACGCAACTATTTTCGTATTGAAAACGTTGTTGCTGTACGACTTGCCAAGAGCCTGACGAAGTTGCCTGCTGCCCCCTATGCAGACAGCTGTACACTAGTGCACTATGATAACGATGTGACCCCTGGCTTTCACTATTATGAAGCTGATGGCACTGCCTTGAACATCTACGACATCACAGGATCTACACACTCACGCATCATCCAGTGTCTTAAATCCAGGAAGCCGCCTGCTGGATTTGACCGAGACCTCACTAAGTTTGAGGAACTCGCTGATGGTCCACCACCAAGCGAGTCACCTCCAGCAGCTGCTCCTGAGCAGCCTCCTGCGGAGAACGATGGTCGGCTCCCGACCATCATAGAGGAAACAGAAGAAGATCTGGATGCCTTTGTCTTGAAGTCGTGGTATGCTGAACTGATGGATGACAGAACACTCCTTGAAGCTGACACAGAAGAAGTCATGCATACAGTTCCCACATACATGACAGACACACAGTGTGTGTTAGTCTCTACGACCTGTGAAGATGTGCAAGGCCACTTGCCGGAGCGGGGTCACCCGCCAGGATACGACATGGACACTTCTTACTACGTTCCTTTGTGCTCCACGGATCCGGACAGCAAATATGATCTGGATTCCGATGAGCACGGGAAGTACATCGAGCTCTGCTTCACAGCAGACATGTCCAAAGTCGTCCTGTCCGAGCAGCAACACCGATTGTTGGATGACAGCAGCGTCACAACATGCGAGTATACGTTAGTGCTGCCTCCAAACGTGCCGTGGTCGTCAAGGAAGACGATCTACTCACGAAGGCCGACATTCAAGCGAATCCGGTCAAAGTTTCCAAAGCCCTTTACACAGAATTGAAGACTTGGCTTGACAACAAATGCTTCCAGATGACTGACTTGAGCAAAGCGTCGAACATCATGACTTCACGCTACGTATACAAATGGAAGTTTGTCAAGAACGAAAAGGGCGAAATGGAAAGGACGATCAGGTTACGCTTGGTACTCCGTGGCTTCATGGACCTTGAAGCCTTTGATGTCGAAACCTTCTCTGGCACGGCAAGGAGGTCAAGCCAGAGACTGCTCGCAAGTTCTGCTGCATGCAACAAAGCTTGGATCATCGCTTCCCTGGACATCAACATGGCTTTCTTGAAGGGACTGACCTATAGCGAGCTCGCCGCGGCAACGGGCGAGAAAGAGCGTGTGGTGTGCTTCACGCTACCTCCTGGGTCAGCAGCTGTCCTTCGCACACTGCCAGGCTTTGAGTCATATGACGAATCAAAGCATTGTCTTCGGTGTCTGAAGCCGGGGACGGGCACGAAGGATGCTCCCAGGGCATTCTCGTTGAAGCTCAGGTCCATCACTAGGAGCTTTGGGCTACAGCCTACTTCATACGACGAAGAGTTCGAGATGAGCTCAAACCTCTTGACAGCCAAACACGTTGATGACATCAATATGACTGGGAAGGAAGATGCTATTGACAAGTATGTCAAGTGTGTTGAAGATACGTTTGGAAAGTGCAAACTGAACAAGCACACATACACAAACTGTGCCGTTCGGTACAACAAGACCGATGATGGGAGCGTCACTCTCGATCAGGACGAATACATCAAACAGCTTCGTCCTATCACACATCCAGAACTCACAGGAGCTGATCCTGAGAGCAAAGCGACAAAGACGATTTCTGATATGTTCGTCAGTCTTCGTGGCGCTCTAGCCTATGCGTTGATCACGCAGGTATGGCTGATGGTCTATGTTGTCTCACTACAACGTATCCAGGAACCGACAAACATCCAGGTACGACGACTAAACGCGGTTACCAGGAAACTGCAGGCAGGTCCGAAGAAGATCGTGTATCAAGCTATGACCCCAACAGGAGAAGTCGACCTGCATAGCGATTCTGGCTATCGTCGTCTCAACGGAGATGAAGACGACGAAGTCAAAGGCTATGGTATCCGCGGGGCTAACCTGCTGAGGCGTGGCCACACGCAAGCGGGGAAACCCGTCGTGCACCTGGTGGACGCATACTGCAAGTCTCATCGACTGCAGGTGCGTTCGAGCTACTCTGCGGAAACACTGGCAGCAGCCCACAACTTGGAAGACTGCTACCCGACCATTGTAACGCTCCACGAGCTACACTCGGGACCATTGACCCCCACACAGTTAAAGAACATATTGGAAATGGGTGGTCTATGTATCAAAGTCACTCTGACTATTGATGCCGAGTCTGTCTTCAAGTCTTTGTCTAGCAAAGATCTGAAGAAGCCCACAGAATGTACTCTGCTTGGGCACATTAGCTGGATCCGCCAGATGATGGAGCGCGGAATCGTTGAAAGCGTTCAATGGTGTGACACGCGGGATATGACTGCCGATGGTCATACCAAAGGTAGCAATGACCGCGCGTTGCTCCTACAAGTAATGGCCGGCCAGCAATCCTTCAAGCACGAGCTGAAGAAACATACTCCGTATAGGGCGGGCAGGTCGTCTCAGGACGGCCCTGCCTCCCGAGCTAGCGGGGAAACCCGCATGCAGGTGCGCTCTAGTAGCGGGGAAACTCGCCAGTAGCGAGGCTACTCGCGCGCCCTTGCCTTGTGGGCAGCCGCTGTTGCCTAGCACTGTTTTTCCGTGTAATGTAGAAGTGCGGTGCCTGCTCGTCTCCTCCCCCTCCGACTTTAAACGGAGAAGGTTAAAGGCGAGGTATATATCGAGCATGCACCGCTGCCGTGCTTGGCTCGAGCCGGGCCCGGCCTAATATGTGAATGCGCCTCACCGAGGCGCGCGACTTGTATCTGAGATCGGAAAATACCTTTTCCATTGAAGATGCCCCTTCTATCCTTTACTCCAGATCCCATGCTTCGTCTCGCTCTCTTGCTCATGCGATATGAGCCAAAGCCTGGGATATGGGAGCGCCTAAGGCGGAACATATATCTAAGCTTACCAGTGCGTTTTCGACTATTTTGGGCTTCTTTTGAGCTTCTTGGGAGCCTTTTGGGGGGGCCTCTTGGGGCCTCTTAGGGGGCCTCATGGGCTCTGTTAGGCGCCTCTTGAGCCCCCTTGGGGCCGTTTTGGGGCGGAAGGCTAGGATTATTGGTTCAGGCTCCCCCTCTTGGGCCCCTCTTTGGGCCGTCTTGGGGCACTCTTGGGCCGTTTTGGGAGCCTCTTGGGCCGTCTTGGCGCCCACTTGGGCAGTTTCGAGCGCCTCTTGGGAGCCTCTTGGGCCGTTTTTGGGCGGTCTTGGGGGACTCTGGGGCCGTCTTCAACGCCGCGAAGGCCAAAAAGTTGTGCATGATTAAAATGCGGGGTTTCCCCATTGGAATTTGACGATTTTGTCCTCTGGGGCCTTCTTGGGATTGCTCTTGGAGGCTTCCTGGGCCGTCTGGGAAGCTTCTTGGGCCGTCTTGGGGCCATCCTGGGCGTTTTGGGCCGACCTTGGGCGTCTCGGGGGCATCTTGGGCCGTCGTGGGGGCTGCTTGGAGCTCTGTGGCCTCGTGGGGCCTGATGACACCTTTGCCCCCCCCCCCCCCCCCCCCCCTCTAAACTGGCTGGGCCGGGCTCCCGGGGGAGGGGTTTGGGGAGGGGGCGGCATGTCGCATGCCGTGACCCCAAGGGATCGGCGGATTCATGTGATTTTTAGAAAGAATACGCATAACAACAGCACTGATGTTTGTAATACTTATAAGGATGATTGCATTAACACTAATAGTAGTATCAGTCAGAAAACGAGGCATATTAATAATGTTAAAAAGACAACTACAATAACATAGGGATAATAAGGCTATTACGAATGTAATGGCAATGATACTACTAGTAGTAATACTACTCATCGTACGATTGTGAAAATAGAAGTTATTCTTCGAAAAATACGAGTCAGAAGTACGAAGCATCTAAATACGAATGCGAATGAGCACGCACACGGGGGTGCGTGCACATTAATGACTTAGCGGATTTTGGGATGTCGGTCTCATCACATCAGCGTGTCACTCAGTAGTCGTCTGGGCTCCAGAGTTTTCGCCGCATGCAGGGTGTGGCGGGAGCGTTCCTCGCTTTCCTGACCTTTGTGGTGCGGGACCACTTCGCGCGTCGGCCGCCCTGGGACGGCGGCGACGCCGACTGGTGCCGCGCGGAGGCTCTGGCACCGTCTCCCGCCCCGCCTGTGCAGGACGACGTTGTCTGCCCCGTGAGCTGGGTCCACCCTGGCATCGTGGAGGAGATCGCGCAGCAGCTCGTGGCTGATCGCTGCGTGTGCGAGGTTCAGTGCAACAGCGTGAGGAGGGACTTCGCCCTCTTCGCGGGCGGCGTGGGTTTCTTCGGCTTCGGGCAGCTCATCTACGGGGTGACCTTCTTCGGCCAGTGCTGCTGCTGTCGACGGGATGGCGCTCGCGGTGGCGCCGCGGGCCGTGCGACTCGGGGCCACAGGCGAGCGTCTTACGGTGCGGGAGTTCTTGAATGAGCTCCTCCCTGGCCGCCTCGTGGCGGTCAAGTACCCAGGAGAGGACCTCTACCACGAGAGGGTGGTCCTCGGCCCGTGCGCTCGCGACTTACTCGGCCGAGTGAGTCGCTGGGAGGTGCTGACGCCCGATCACGACAAGTACGACGAAGATATGACCATGGAGGGCGACGAAGGCGAAGCCATCGTCCTCCTGGACGACATGGGCAATTGTCCAGCGGGCCTGCGAGGAAGATTCTACCGCTTCGCTGGAGACCGCTATCCGAGCAGCCAGCAGATCGTGGACTGGGCCAGAGCCCAGGTCGACCAGATCAGGGCCGCTGGTGAGGAGCCGCTGTCGATGACTCACTACATCGACCACGAGGGCTCTCGCAGGGCGCTGGCTGGCGTGGGCAGGCGGCGCCGCCTGGGCGGTCCCGCGCCCTTGCCTGCGGGGGGGCCCGAGGCCCCTGGGGGCGTGGCCGCCGCTGGCGGCCTTGTGGCCTTGGACGGCGACGCCGACGGCGCTGGGGCTTCCGTGGGGCCCGCTGGCGCGGTCGGCCTGGGCGCTGTGCGCGACGCCACCGAGGACCCTTTCGGTCTTTTGCGTGCGCGCGAGGAGCCCGCCGAGGGTCGTGTCTGGATTGTGTGCGAGAACTCCGACGAGCACGAGACCCTCGGGCTGGAGGTCACTTTGAGGCCTGGCGACATCGCCATCACTAGCCACGATGGACTGGTGCATCGGCACGGCGGGTTCTTGAGGGTTCGCTCGGTGCCTTCAAGCGAGTGCGTCGACTTCGTTGCCCGCCTCAAGGCTCGCAGCACGTCGGCGGCTGCTGAGCCGCCTGCTGGGGCTCTGGCGATCGGCGGCACGAAGACTCCTCCCATCGAGGCCGACGACGACGTCAGGACTTTCTGGGTCGACTACGACGAGTCTGGGAACCGTTTCAAGTCCTTCAAGAAGGCCGTGCAGGAGAGCCGCGAGGAGCCCATCACGGCCGTGGAGGTGCAGGGCCCGCTTGGCACGCTCCACCTCGCGCGGTTCATCGAGCGGTACGGCGGTGGCCCACGGCGCTGGTGGCAGGGCTTTGCACGGGACCACGGCACCAGCAAGACGGACAGGGTCTACCACGAGATGACGAACCCCACGGAGAGCCTGACGTTGTTCGGCGAGTACGACCAGCTCAACTTGGGTGCCTCCGCTGGCATCGAGAAGTTGACGAGACGCATCTGCGGGGTGATCGACGCCTACGCGACAGGCGGGGGTGTCCCCAGCTGGAAGATGGCAGGCGCTTACGAGGGCGAGGCCAACTCGATCGACGCCATCGCCCCCGCCTTGCGCAAGTGGGGCCTGACCAAGGTGAAGGACCATAACGAGCTGGAGCAGGCTCGTTCGCGCCATCCGCGGCCCGCGGACGGCGCCGACCCGAGCGCCGCCCCGTCGGGCGCTGCGTGCCGTGGCGACGGCGGCCGTGGCCGCGGTGCTGGGGCAGGACGGGGGGGGGCGCGGCAGAGGCGATGCGGCCGCCCCCGATGGCGGGTGACCTAGACGACGGGTCGCGGATTGGCCCTCCATGCCGCGGCCCGCTGAGAGTGGGGGATTTTCGGGCGGGAGGACGCCCCGAGCTTTTTGACCAGTTCCCGATCGCGCTGCCGCCTTTGGAGTCTGCGCCGACTTCGGGAGGGCGTCGGTCGAAGAGATACCGCAGACGTGACCACGTGCGGCAACTCGCCGAGGGCGCTTCAAATGCACTTAATTGGCTTGCTAAGACCGATGACCACCGACTTCCTGATCTCCGCGGGCGGCCTCAACATGTTTCGGAGCTCGGCCAGTGCCAGGTGATTCGCGAGCGTGACGAGGTGCTGTCCTACGTGGAGCAGTTGGCTGCGCTTCAGGTGCGCGACGGTGGCCATGAGTACTACTTGCCGCCAGAAGTGGCCCTTCGGGAGCTGCTCTGTGACAAGGCGTCTGGCTACAGGATGGACGCCTCTATGACTACGCTCGCGCCGTACCAGCGAGGTCGGGTCTCCCTGCCTGAGAAGCGTGATGCGGTGTCGTCCGTCTTCGACCTGGTGGGGGACCGTGGCCGTGCCTACCTGGAGGGTGCAGGAGAGCGCATGCTCGATCCCAGTGCTAGTGACACGTTGGCTGGCGACGCTGATCGGTGTTATGTTGATCCCCAGCTCGCCAACAGCCCGAAGCTCTACGCCCGCTTCGTGCGCGACCTGAAGGCCAGGAACATGCTGGTCTTCGGCAAGTGGGCGCATGAGCGCACAGGACTTTTCTTCGTTCGAAAAAAGAGTGGGAAGCTCCGACTTATCCTCGACGCGCGGCGGACCAATCGGTGGTTTCGACCGCCGCCGCGCGTCGACCTTTTGACGGCCGAGGGCTTGGGCCGTATAGAGGTCGAGCTTCCCGACGACCAGGACTTCTCATCTCTCTACTGTGGCGCAGCTGACGTGCAGGACGCGTTCCACAGGATGGGCATGCCGATGTGGCTGTCTCGCTGGTTCGGCTTGCCCCGTGTGCGAGCTCGAGACGTAGGGCTGACTTCTTGTGAGGACGGCCCCCTCGCGCCCGACGACTGGGTCACGCCGATGCCGAGCTGCCTCCCCATGGGCTTCGCCTGGGGCCTCTTCTTCGCCCAGGACGTCGACGAGGAGGCCGCCGGCCAGGTTCTTCCTCGAGCTGAGCTGCTGCGCGACCGTGGCCAGCCGCTCGTGCTCTCGATGCGGGGAGCGGGCGCCACTGCGACGCGCCACTACATCTACGGGGACAACATCGGGGTGTTCGGCGCCGACGGCCGCATCGTGGCCTCGAAGCTCGAGGACGTGGTCTCGGCGTTCGAGTCTCGCGGGCTGGCGGTGCACGAGGTCGACGTCTCCGACGAGGGGGTGGAGGCGCTGGGCGTTCTGCTGGACGGCCGCAGGCGGCACACCCGCCTCACCGCCAAGCGCTTCTGGAGGGTGCGAGGGGCCATCCTGGCCCTCGCCAGCCGCCGGCGGGTGACGGGTCAGCAGGTGGAGGCCATCCTCGGCCACGCCACCTTCTGCGGCCTGCTGCGGCGCGAGACGCTGTCGGTGTTCACCACCGTCTACCCTTTCAGGGCTCACTACGACCAGCCCGTCGCCCTCTGGCCGTCGGCCGCGGACGAGCTACGCACGTTCGCTGGGCTCATGGTCCTGCTCGTGTCCGACTGGGAAGCGGACTGGAACCCCATGATCGTGGCCTCGGACGCCTCCGAGTGGGGTTACGGACTTTGCAGCCGCTGGGTTGGGGCCGACGAGGCTGCGGCAGTGGGTCGTGTTCGTGAGCGCGATCGCTACCTCGACCCTGACCACGTCGCCGCTCGGGCCGCCGCTCTTGGAGAGGCCCAGTCGGCGACCTCTATACCCGCCGAGCCTTCGGACCTGTGGGATGCCTGCGGGACGAGCGGCCTGATGGCCGACCCCACCTTCGCGGAGGTGCCCTCGCCTATGTTGGAGAGCACGTCCTGGAGGACCATCGGCGGCTGGCCTTTCTCGGGTGAGGAGGACATCTTAGTGCTGGAGGCTAGGGCGCTGCTCCGCGTGCTCGAGCGCGTGACCCGCACACGTTTTGGCCGCAACATTCGCCAGGTTCTTTTTGCCGACAACCTCGGCCTGGTGCTCTCAGTGGGCAGGTGGAGGTGTCGGAACTTCAAGGTTCTCGTCATCCTGAGGAGGATGGCAGCGTGGTGTCTCAGCCGCAACGTTCGTCTCTCGGTGCGGTGGGTGCCGTCGGAAAAGAATCCTGCTGATGCCCCGTCCCGTCTCTTTCAGCCCAAGTCTCATTTTCTGTCGAAGGAGGTTGATGGAAAAGACCACCCCGATCCGATAGGGCACGCCCCCCATGACGGTTTTCCGCCTGTTGCTGCGAGCCCCTCTCGGGTGGAGCCCTGTGCTGGCGACGAGCCTCAGAAGGGTTCGGAAGCGGATGAGACGTCCTCTCCCGCTGGCTCTCGCCTCGGTCCTTCTTCCGTAGCCGTTTTGGCTCAACCCGACTTACATGATTCTCCCAAAAGCGACTACAGCCGAGCGCACCCGCACTCTGGTTTCCTCTCAGCCTCGCAGCGATGTCGCACTGGCGAATCCTGTGAGGAAGCGTCGGCTCCCGTCGACGGATGTCGCATCCGTCTCACGGCCGCGCACTTCCCGTGTACCGTGGGCAAACAACGAGGCGGGGGCCCAGGCGCTAAAGACGGCGGCGGGCCTGTGGGAGATCTCGGACGACGAGGTCGTGCAGCTGCTGTCGGAGCTGCGGCGCCGCCATCAGCGTGGGCTGGACACGGAGGCTCCTTCGAGCTCGGAGAGCGAGCCCGACGTCGAGCCAAGGCCAGGTGCGACCACTCGTACTCGTACGCCTCCGCCGCGGGCCAAGAAGGCCCTCGAGACCCTCCTGTCGGCCAGGACGCTGCCCGACTTTGCCCACCTCACAGCGGGAGAACACGCCGCCGTGAGGCCGAGAACGGAGGCCCAGTACGCCCAAGAGGTGGCTGCGTTCAGGACGTTTGCGAACGCCGAGAAGCTGACCGACATCCCGATCACGGACCTGGACGACCTGCTGGTGAGTTACATGGACCAGCAGATCCGTCAAGGCGTCTCGGCTGCTCGCGGGATGAAGCTGATCGCTGGCGTGGTTCACGGCCAGCCGAGAGTGGGCAAGAACGGACCCCACACCTTGTCACGCAGCTGGAGGGCGCTCAAGGGCTGGCAGAACCTCTGCCCGTCCACATCTCGCTTGCCCGAGGCGTGGCCCATCTGGTGTGCCATCGTGAACGGGCTGGTGCTGCTGGGCCGCTTCGACATGGCGCTGTTCATCTGCCTGATGTGGAGCACCTACGCCAGGCCCATCCAGCTGATGGCCCTGCAGCCCGAATACCTGTACCCGCCTTCGCGGGTGTCGACCTTCTGGGCGGTCCAGCTCAACCCCGAGCCCGAGGGGGTCCCGTCCAAGGCGAAGGAGTTCGACGTGACTATCGAGCTCGACCACGCCTGGTGGTCCCGCCTCTCTCCGATGCTCACGACGCTGAAAAGTTTGCCTGCGGGCCGTCGAGTGCGGTCGGTCACCTACCCGAAGCTGGCGGCGACAGTGGCGAGGGTCGCCAAGGACCTCGGCTTCGACCTGGTGGTGTACCAGGCTCGGCGCAGCGGCGCCAGCGCAGACATGGCGTCCCGCAGGCGTACCCTGGCCGAGGTCAAGAAGAGGGGCGGCTGGAAAGCCGATCGGTCGGTGGTGAGGTACGAGAAGGGAGCTCGCCTGGCCAGCACTTGGGCTCGCCACCCGGCCTGGCGCCAGAGCCACGCCGAGCAGTGCGAGGAAAGATTCGTGGAGATCTTGCTGCACGGCCTCACGGTGCCCAGGCCCGCTTCCATTTCCCGTTAGAGGAACGTCGTCTCTTCGCGCTGATGGTCGGCGACGCTTTCCTGCAGCCGCACCATGTCACGCGGCAGGGTTTCTTGACCAGAAGCCTGGCCGAGCGGGATCTGACGCTTGGTTCCTTGCTCGCGCTGCGCCGAGATTTTCGGGAGTCGCGCTTTGCTGCCTTGTTTGTCTCAGTGACCGATTCGGACACGATGATGCGAGCTCGTTCGTTGATCACCCTTGCTGTGAAGTTGGGGCTCCCACTTGTGATTGTGTGTCGTGCCAAGCTAAGTTTGGACGTCGACCGAGCGTTTAGCGAATTTGAGGGTGTTGCTTGTCAGGTTTCGCACATGTGCAGATATGGAGGTCGCGGCAGATTCCCGACTGTCTCGTACATTTTCAATATACAGTCTGCCGACTGTTCTCGCCTTGGCCTGGCGTGCCCTGGCAAGCGTTCCCGTGACAGCCACCAGCCCCACCTCTTTTTGCTTCGCCCCGCCCACCAGATCCCAAAGAGGTTCCAGAGAGCCCTGGCGTTCACGCTGCTGGCTGTCCCTCGTGCTCTGTATCTATCAGTGTGAGAACAGAACCTGTTTTGGGTTTTCTGATTTGGGATGATGTGTGAAGTTTAACTGCGGAGTTCGAACTCCGCTCTGTCTTCCCATCTCGGATCCGAGTCGCTTAGACCAGCGAGTGCAGTAGAGAGAAGTAATCACCGCTAAAAAATATGCATGTAAATCATGGGGGTGCGTGCACATTAATGACTTAGCGGATTTTGGGATGTCGGTCTCATCACCTCAGCGTGTCACTCAGTAGTCGTTTGGGCTCCCCTCCCGCCAAACCCCTTGAGGAGCGGTATAAGCCTGGATGATGTGTGAAGTTTAACTGCGGAGTTCGAACTCCGCTCTGTCTTCCCATCTCGGATCCGAGTCGCTTAGACCAGCGAGTGCAGTAGAGAGAAGTAATCACCGCTAAAAAATATGCATGCAAGTCATGATAATGATAAGAAGACGGCCGAACATAATCATAACGCTACTTATAGCACGAAGAAGAAACATCCGAATCATATGACTAATAATAATAATGAACATGCGCATACTATTACTTACATGCTGGGAGGAGGAGAAAGAGGAGGAGGAGGAGGAGGAGGAGGAGGAGGAGGAGGAGGAGGAGGAGGAGGAGGAGGAGGAGGAGGAGGAGGAGGAGGAGAGGAAGAGAAGAGAAAGAAAGGGAAAGGGGAGGAGCAGAGGAGGAGGAGGAGGAGGAGGAGGAGGAGGAGGAGGAGGAGGAGAAAGAGGAAAAGGAGGAGGAGGAGGAGGAGGAGAAAGAGGAAAAGGAGAATGAGGATGAGGAGGAGGAGGAGGAGAAGTAGGAGTAGAGCCGTGTCTCCCTGGGGGCGGGCGTTTGGGAGGAGCCCGGGCCGCAGCCGGGGCCCCGGGGTCTTCGTGCCGTGGGCCCAGGCCGGGGCCAATGCCTGGGTCAGGCTCGGGGCCGCGGCCGGGGCCGGGGCCAGGGTCTGCGCCAGGGCCGGAGCCGGGGCCGAGGCTCGGGGGCTCCCAAAGCGGTGTGGTGACCACAGTGTGCGGTGAATTCGGTGGGGGTCAGGGGTCACCGCACGGTTTTGGGACTCGAGCCCTCTCCGAGGATGTCTCGGGCGACGGGCCTCCGAGGTGCCAAAACTCGGCCACGCGCAGAGGGGTGTGTGGGGGGGGGGAGGGCTTCTTAGAAACACCCCTGCTTCTTAGAAGGCGCGGGCCTTATCTATAGATGTAAGGCCAGCGCCTTCTAAGTAGCAGCCTCCTTCTTAGTCTAAGAAGCCCCCCCTCCCTCCACCCCCTTGTGCGCGCCGCCAAAAAACCGTGAGGTCTTGGGGGATTTCGAGGTCACCGCACGGT